TATACAAGATTGAAATGGATAAGATAAAAATATATATATATATGGCCACTTTATCTAGCCCCGTTGCATATGAAACTATCAATGATCACTTACCTAACGGCTAACACAAAATCTCAATTATAAGTGTGCTTTCAAATTGTCAATCTTGTAAAAGAGTTTCTGGTAATGATTTACTCAGAGTTTGTGGGTGCATGGGAAGGTAAAGTTGAGGAACATACCCTTCTTTTCTCAGTTCTAAAAGGAGACTATCCAGCACAGAGTAGATCTGAGCAGTGAGGGGATGGCTTCCATCTGCAGCGACGAACATATGGGTGGCATTGTTGACCTCAATCCAGCTATAACCGGGAACCTTCCGAACTCCTCGTTCTTTCATTATGCTACGTACTTTAAGCACCTTCTTCCATTTTCCAGCGCCAGCCTGCACATTTGCAAGCAATACATAGTACCCAGAGTTTAGAGGGTCTAAATCAAACAAATATTTCGATGCCACTTCAGCAAGCTCAACGTTTCCATGAACGTGGCAGGCCCCGAGTAGTGTCCCCCATACGCCAGCATCTGGAGGGAATGGCATGCTTTTAATGGTTTCGAATGCTTCATCTAGACGACCTGCACGTCCAAACAAATCAGCCATGCAGGCATAGTGCTCCATTCGAGCTGGGATCCCATAGTCTTCTGTCATGAGGTGGTAATATCTAATTCCTTCATCAACTTGGCCAGCATGGCCGCAAGCAGATATTATACCAAGAAAGGTGACATGGTCTGGCTGTATGCCGTTTTTCAGCATTTCATGGAACAAAGCAAGACACTCCTTCAAATCACCATGGTTGCCATAGGCAGAAATGATGCTGTTCCAAGAGACTTCATTTTTCCCTTGCATCATGTCAAACACTCGCCGAGAGAAATTCAAGTTTCCACACTTAGCATACATGTCAATCAGTGAACTTTCAGCATAAATGTCAGATCTTAGAGGGCCTTTAATCATGAAGCCATGGATCTCTTTTCCATAATGGAGAGCAGGTAAGTTTGCACAGGCAGATAGAGCACCAGATATGCTCACACAGTCATACTGAGTTCCCTCCATTCCCATCTGACGGAAAAGATCGATGGCCTCTCCCGGTCTACCGTTCTGGGAACAGCTTGTGATCATGGAGTTCCAGAAAATAGCATCCTTTTCAGTCATTCTGTTAAAAACTTGACAAGCAAGATCCAATCTTCCACATTTTGCGTACATGTCCAGAACAGCACTGCCCACATGACATTTAACATCGAGCCTATTTTTCACGATACTACAATGCAACTCCTTTCCTAAGTTTAGAGCAGCCAAGCCAGCAAAAGCTGGAAAGACACTTGCAAAAGTCACAGAAGTTGGCTTCAATCTCTTTTGGAGCAACCATCTAAATGCCTCCAACGCTTCTATATTCATCCCATTAAGCACGTATCCTGAAATCATGGCCGTGCACACTACAGTATCAACCAAACTACTTTGACGCAAAATTTTTTGTGCCATTTCCACATCCCTGCACTTGAAGTATACATCAATTAGAGCACTTTTCAAGAACACATCCAAAACTACAGCATGTCTTACTATGTAACCATGAATTGCCTTACAATGTTCGAGACTAAACAACTCCGTAACACATGGAAGAAAACTTGCAAAAGTGATCGAGTCTGGCTTCATTCCTGCAGATACCATCCCACGAAACAATTGCTCAGCCTCACTCATCAACCCATTCTGCACATACCCAGAAATTATTCCGTTCCAACTTACCAAGTCACTTTGTGGCATCATATCAAACAGTTTACGTGCAGCTTGTAAACATCGGCATTTCGAATACATAGCCAACAATGTATTAGCCACAGGAGAATCCAAATCCAGCCCACAAGTAACAGCGAGCCCATGAAGTTGAGTACCTAAGTCAAGCATCGCCTCCATGGCACAAACGGATAAAACACAAGCAAAGGTCACCGAATTGGGCTTAATTTCACCATGTCTCATTTCCAAAAAGATCTTAATAGCATTCCTCGAGTCTCCATTTTTCACATAACCATTCAGCATAACATTCCACAAAACACAATCCTTCTGAGGAATATTATCGAACAGATACTGCGCATCACTTAACCGACCATTCTCCGCATACAGCTTGATTAAAGAACTACCCACAAAGGCATCCTTCTCAAGACCCATTAAATTAACAGTCTCATGAACAATCTTACCCATCTTCACGTTGTTCAAAGCACCACAGGCTTTAACCACATAAGGAAATGTATACTTATCAGGATAAATTCCAGCACCCAACATCTTAAAATAAAACAGTAAGGCATAATTAAACCAACCCATGACAGTAAACCCCCTAATCATCCAATTCCAAGCCGAAGTACATCCCAACTGAAGCGAATAAAACACGTTCTTAGCATCCTTGAGGCTTCCAGTAAGCACATACATACCCAAAATCCTTGGACCCATATCACCATTTTGGCTAATTCCACTGGCAATGGCCTGGGCGTGAGATTGTTGACCTTGACGAAGAAGAGAATGGTGATTACAAGCTTGGAAAATTGATGCCAGTGCCGCTTCCACATTTGTCGAAAACAAGGTGGGGTTTATTGGGTTTTTTGAGTTGGATTCAGTAGAAAAGAGAAACTCGGGTCGAGAGAAATGAGGAAGAAATCTGTAGAGTGAAAAGCGAAATTTGTAGAACATACTTCGTTGATCAAATCATGTTCACTTCGGCGGAGGCCCAGCCCGCCCGCATAAACTTTTGCTCTCAATCTCGCCCTCTTGGATTGTCTTTTTAGTTTTTATTTTGAAATAAATAATATCTTCGTTCCCTAAAAAAAAGAGAGAAATTTTTTTTTTCGTCCTAATATACTAAGTTTATTTTTGTTGCATGTACTTTTGAAATCTCTGCGTTTTATATTTTTTATTTTTGTTTATTTTAGTCTATATACTCTTAAAATAATTCTTTTAATCCTTAAATTTTTAAAAATATTTATTTGTAAAATGAACACAAATTTTATGTACAATGAAAACTTTTTATTGAAATTTATTCATTTGAAGAAACTTCGTAAAATAAATTGTTAGGTTAAAATTGTGATCGAAAGAAGAGATATAAAGATAGATTTACTATAGAAACACAGAAACACATAAATTAGTATTGATTTATCCGTTCTATATTTTGCTACATTTAGGTCAATATAAGTATAGTTCAATAATTAAAGCATCTTGCTCAACCTCCTCTTCCGTTAGAGGTTGGAGGTTCCGATCTCTCCTTAAAAAATATTCATAATTAGGATGTTTATAATTTTTTTTAGTACAACATGTGAGGTGGAGCATCGAACTCACAACCTCTTGATTGAAGATATATGTCAATTACTGCTGAGCTATACTCATTTTGACAACAAAAGAAATTTTTAAGCATAAGGATGTGATTGAGGAAATAAATGCAAAACCCACGCTTGTTCTTCTTCCAACTCTACCTTGGAACTTCTATGATATTTATCAAATGTATTACATTGTTACAATTACAATTATGTCATATCAGTATAACCTCATCGATGGCCTTTTGAAAAATACCCAAATCTTGCAAAACTCATCACATTGACAATATTATGATAATAATATATATAACATCACAAATACGAGTAGAGGATTTAGAGATACTATAATCATTGAGTTATGTTCGAATTGACATGACACTGTGGATTAATTGACGAGCATAGCTTAGCGATAATTGTCATATATCTCCAATCAAGAGGTTGCAAGTTTGATCCTCCATCTCACATGTTGTACTAGAAAACATAATTTATAATTTTATTGGTGATTTTTGCTATTTTTCTATAATATAACGCCAAAGTCAAATGGTAATAATATAATATTGCAATAGAAAAGAGATAAAAGTAGAAATGTCCAAAATAAAAAGGAAACACTCACATCATTGCTTCTGAACAAATGGGATATTTCATTTCATCAAGATTCATGATTATGAAATGAAATATACAACAAAGGCACATACATCAAATGACCAAATCCAACCTATAATAGCTAGGGCTTTTGACAAATTTCAAAATAAAAAAAAAGGTAAAAAAGAAAAAAAAAGAATTCAATAATTATATGTCAATCAAGAAAAAACCTTACATCTCTCTCTTCTCAAAATTCATCATTGAAAATAATGCACTTATTATACCCATGAAACCCTAGAGTTCACTACTCTAGGGAACCCTAAAATCTCCCTTTTCAAATTCATATAATTAATAAAGTCATTTGTCACGTTTCATCATTGAAAGAAGAAGATGTGAAATTCGAATATAATTAATAACATCATTAGTCACGTTCCATCAAATGTCTCACTCATGTTGAATTAAATGTCAAATCTTTCGAGGGCTATGTTTTGGTGGTAAATTAAACTTGTATATATTTTAGAGTTATAAAACCGACTTTATATACGTAAAACTTCCTATGTAAGACATTTGTTTATTTTAAGGTGACAAACTTATGATAAATATCTCTCAATTATATAGTTTTAATTTTCTATTCCAAACTACATAAATTTAATCTTAATTAAAATGGTGAGTTAAAGGTCTTTTAAATTAATGAAAATAATAATTCAAAAAATGTTGGATGTATTGATGATTTTTCTAGAAAATATTGTGGGAAAACAAATAAATGCATAGAAATTATTTAAATTGATAAACAAGTTTGAAATTTCTTTTATATGTATAATTTAATATCAAAAATTAAAAAAAAAATATCATTACCTTGTACTTATGCTACTAACTCAGTGTAATATTTTAGGGATGGTTTGAGGTGCAAGTTCGATCATAAATTTTGAACTAGGGTCTTCGCTTAGGAAAACTATAATTGGGATGCAAGTTTTTTTAAGACCTCAAAATTCAAAAAAATTGTATAGAAGAATATGTTGGAGGCGAATCCTGGCCTGCCACGTGTCATGATCGAAAAGGGGAGTTGGTTAAACATGCGGGCGAAACGGAGAAAGCGGCTCCAAACTACTCAGGTCGGCAGTCTGGGTAGGACCTATAGTGCCGAGCTGAGCTGATACAAAGTCCGTAACAGTGTCCCTTCCGTACCCGACAACACGCCGCGATTTTAGGGTGTGTCAGAACCCCTGTCGGGCCCAGTTTCTATAAATAGAAACTCTTGCCTTAAATGCAAGGTACGCAATCCTAAGTATACTCGGCAAGTTAGCTCGGACTAGAACTAACTTGCTCGTTGGAGTGCTAACTTTGTTTTGCAGGTCTCAAGAAGTGTTCAGGGAAGGTGTAGGACCGTTGGCCATAGCTCGTCCTAAGCATACCGATCTAAATCGTGTCCGAGCTCAATCAATTTCGGGCTCAAATAGAATATATGAGAGAGGTTGATATATATATATATATATATATATAATCTTTGCATTAATAATGCTTTTATTCCTTTGAAATGACTTTTGATCGGAAGAGAGGCATTTTTTAGCTACAAATTAGTGAATGGATTTGACATAATTTAGTGTCAATATTTCCATCAAATTTAGTGTCAACCCTAAGAGAAAAATTATTCCACCATTAGTGTTGTAATATAAAATAAATATATATTCTTCACCAAAAATTAAAGATTTTGATGTTCATCAATCAATATTGTTAATATATCATTAAAATATCAATGAAATATAAATAGAAAAAAAAGCAACAAATATAAATATGAGACCCCTTTTTTTTTGGTATTGAAACTTTTAATCATTGGCTATAACTATAAGTCATAATTCAATTAATAATTATGCACTTTCTTATAAAAAGTCGTAACAATTTTTTTTTATTAACTTTTCTCTCTTTTAGAAAACGAAAACCATTTTCTAAAAAAATAACAAATGTTACTTGAAGGGTCTCATATATCATTTTTTATTCAATAAAATAAAATAAGTTTAAATTTTTACATCTTATGACGTTACACAAGTTGAGGGTTTTCTTTTTCATTTTTTTTTTATATTGAATTTTAGATAAGCTATACTTATATTGTTATATGACACATCAAAGTCAAGTGTCTATATTAAAATATTAAATTAAAAATTTATTTTAATTTGTCCTTATCGTTAGCAAAATCTTATTAAAATACATGTGCTAATCACACCAACAAATTTATATCAATACAATTTTTGTTTTTTTAGTACAGCATGTCGAGGAGGGGATTCGAACTCACAACCTATTCATTGGAGGTATATGTCAATTACCGCTGAGCTATGCTAGTTTTGAAAATTTTATATCATACAATTACTTCAAAAAAAATTTAAAAATTTATATTATATAATGTTGCAATAAATACGACACCACCAGAGAGAGAGAGGATATTATTTTAAAAAATAATAATGATAACAACAACAATTCCATCCTAATATTTGTTCATATGTCAATTTTGTATAATCCTTTCAAATTTTTTTTATCTTTTATACTGAATATTTTCAATGAAATTCTTTAGTTTAAACACACAGCATTAGAATTCATGGATGAAATAATGAGTTTATTTTAACTATGAGCTAGCTGAAAATATCTCATGTTTCAAGTTAATGAAGTTAAAAAATTATTCACTTTGTACATATTGTAATGATAATGAAATGGTTCTTTTTTTTTTCTTTCAATCAAGGAAAACATAATTGGGTTTGTTGTTTGTTCTTGTTCTTTCTTTTTCTTTATTGAAAAATGAAACGGAAACATGTTCGATAATCATTTCTTGTTTTCTTGATCTCTAACCTTTTAAATAAATAAAAAAGTAAAATTTTTATATTAAAATTAATTTTTCAAATTAAATATTAAAAAAAAATTATGTTTTATTTATTTATTTATTTATTCATATGTATTATGTCTTTCCTAAGTAAAAAAATTGACAAAAGGATGTTTTTATCCATGTTTTGGAAGGAAAAAAAAAACTTGAACCGTGAAAACAGAAACAACAAAAAACAAAAAACTTGAATTTTGTTGTTTCTTAAATTTCTACATAATTTTAAACGACACTTATAAATGAAAAACGAGAAACAAAACAGTAACGAGATATTTACTACTATACACAATACAAAACACCGCCTTTATTCTAATATCTAGTGACAGTGGGTAGAATTATTTATCTCAATATACATTAAAAGAAAAGAAAAAAAAAGTGTTATTATTGTACACAAAAATGAAGAAGAAAACAAACCCCTCATGGCCAAAAGTAGGGTCTTGAATGATTTCCTCCACTTCCAAAAGATACAAGCCAAAGCCAAGTCCCATCTTTACATCAAATCTCTTTCCCTTTTTTTCTTCTTCTTCTTCTTATTTTTTTTTCCTCTCTTTTTTTGCATAGTGATGGCCTCCATTGAATGTACTTTGCTTCCACTGTGCAAATCTTCTGTTCCTCAGCTTTCTGTCCCATCCTCACACCCCATATTAATTCCCAAAAGGAATTTGGGTCTCATTGCCTTGCTTCCAATCACCCAACAACCCAATTTCTATGATCAATCTTTTAACACCCCCTAATTAAGTCCTTAATTACTCTCTTTCTAGTCAAAATTAGGGTTAGTCATCTCTTAGGTTAAAATTAGGGTTGTAATATTGCTATATATTGTCAGTGATACGTGTCTGTATAGATAGATGAGATAAAGTAAATAAGTAGATTACAAAAATTTAAAACCATTCATTACCCACAATTAAAAGGGTAGGGGTATGATTTACATGTTCCACAATACCCTAGAGAAATAATTAATGGAAAGATTGAACAATTTTCAATAAACTAAAAATCACCCCAAGAAAGAAAGAAAAAGAAAAAGGAAAAACACTAACTTATAAAAGCAAATAATTAGAGCTAGGCCTAGGCGCTGCCATGTATATATGTAAATTATATATTGTTTTGTATAGGTCTTTGAAGTGTGGTGTGAAAATTACCCAATCATTAGCCTCCATTGGCTTCTTTGAACAAGTTATTGGCATTTGAAGAATAATTCCCAATCTGCTGGTTGTTATTGTTCTCTGCCCAATCATAGAGCTCCAAAAATGGATCTTTACTTCCTTGGCTACCGAAAAGTAGCACATTATTCAGAAGGTCTGCTGGATCATGATGATGATGATCGTGACGACAACGATTATCGTGCCCGTTCATTTGATCGGCAAAATCTGCAAAAATTAGGTCATAGGGGAACTCTTGATGATGACGATCTCCCTCCCGATCTTGATGATCATTATCTATTGTTGTTGGTGCTGTTGTTGCTGCTTTCTCTGTTGTCTGGTCTTCTTCCACCTCCTCCCCCTTTACGGCCCCCGTTAATGGGGAGGTTAGATTGTCGTTGTTGTGCTCGTGTTTCGGGCTTGTTTTATGGGCAAGGGCGGGGTTTCTTGAGGAGTGGGAGCGAGTGGAGCCAGCGAGAGCGTTGCGTTGAGTTGGCCATGGGTGGTTGTGCTCCGAGGTGTAGGTGATGACAAGCATGTTGGGGTTGGTGCGGCTGCGCTCCACCTGTTTTCGGGCAGAGCAGCCCTTGGAGCTGCTGCACCGATAATAACCTCTGAAGATAGAAGAAGATAGGGAACATAAGATAAGGGTTTTGAGAAGTGTTAATATTGATCTTATATATATTATGAATTGATTCTTCAAAATATTTATAACGCGTAAAGATAAAATGTGTGTGTATATATATATATCATAGGTTTGTTTAGGTACAAGCATAAATATAGAAGTATATAATAAGATGAAAATTAAAATGAAAATACATGATCAGCTTGGAGTTTATACCAAGATTGTAAGGACAAAATAGTAACCAAGAATAAAGATCGTCTGGAGCAATTACCTAAGTTCAAATCTTTTTATCTTTATTCCTAGTTTTTGTTCAAAAAAAAAATTATAATAGCATGAAAAATATATTAAAATTTTGATTATGCATGTATTTAAGATCCGTTTGTTTTGAAAAATTATATTTTTTTAAATCTGCACCCGCTAAAAACACAACTTTAAAATTCTAACTAAAATTAAAAGATATATATAGTTAGAATCATTCTTAACCAAATAAATATGGCAACTAAACAATAGTAGCATTTAAAAACTAATGATAACTAAAAACAAAACATTATCCCTAATAAATTCTTTTTACAAATAAAGTCCATTCTAAACCTCAAATCAACTGATCATTTCGATGATTGGATGATAATCAATCATAAAAATGAAAAAGAAACTATTTAATTTCTTAACCCTCAACACCTATTTCCATCCCGACAATCATTAAAAAACTGACAATTTATTACTTAATATCTTTCTTAATTGTTAAACATTTAATGATAATCGGAACGAAGGTAAGTATTTTCTAGAGATAAAACATATATAGGTTCTAAAACAAAATCGTGTTCAAATCAAAACTAACTAAGATTCTACATATAATTATTTTCTAAAAAAAATATCAAAGTTGACAATTTTATTATTAGTTCTCTCAAATCACATTGATAAACTGATGAGTAAATGAGTGAGATTCATGAAATTATTGGTGCCAATTTCTTGTCATATATATATAGGGAGAGACGTACAGAAACTTGCAGCAATATTTTGCAGGTTTCTGGAAAGCAAAAGTTTTTTTTCTCTTTCCTATTTAAGGAAAAATAATTTAACTGAAAATTATAACATGAAATTAATAACAACTAAAAAAAATTAAAAAATATATATATTTGACCTTGGATATGGGGATCCTTTGATGGGCTTTTGTCCGTACTTTCTCCATGCCCATAGATCAGAAGGAACCACTTCGCCGCTGCTTGACCGGCTGTTCGCCGGCGCCGGCGCCGGAATGCACACCACCTTCTTCACCTGGCTCTTCCTACAAACCCCGACCAAACATTAATCATGAAAACTTATTTAACTTTCGGTTTGGTTCGGTTCGATGATTATTTTGTCTAGTGTGACGATTTCTCTTTGTTTCATAATCTGTTTTATGATTATTCGTAATCATTTGGAGGGTGTGTTTTAAAAGTAAGATAATGTCTGAACGAAGAAGTAAAAAATTTTAAGATCAATTTGATAACGTTTTTGCTTCTTGTTTTTGTTTCGTCTCTTTAAAATAAAACTGCATGGTCGCAACACTATATAAATTCAATAATGAAAAAATAATATTTTTATTTATGTTAGAACAAATTAAAAACGAGAACAAGAAACAAGAAACTTATTACTTCTAAAATTTCTATACAATTTTAAAAATCTTCTAAAACAAATTAGAAATAAGAAATATAAATAGTTGTCAAATATTTATATTTTCTTTTAAACGACAAACAATAACCATAAATGTTACCAACTCTTAGTTTACTCTACTTAATAAAAAGAAGACCATATTATTTCTAATTATCACAGTACAAGATTATGCTAATTTATGTAGAATAAACTTGGAAGTTCAATCTAACTAGGATTAGACTTGATCAACAATCGAGTTTTCGTATTTGTGTATAAAGTTCGAAAAATATCAAAATGTTAGAAAAATGGTATTTTAAGATCATAAGCTCGAACTGTCCCTTCCAATAATTTTACTATATTCTTAAAATGACTCTAAAGAAGGGGAGGAAATTATGTTTTCTAAAACCCATAATTTTAATGGTGGGATTTCCCGAAAGGGCTTCCATTAGTTTTGAAATTCTCTCTACCAATAAGCATAGTTTTAATTGGACTTCAATCTTTCACCAAAAAATCATAAAATAATTTTATAGAAAAATTCAAGCACCAAAAAAATTTGAATTTTTTTTAAACCCACCAAATAAAAGGAACAAAACTGCCTCGAGAGCAAGCTTGAATTGATCTTTAATGAAATTAGAAGAAAATTAAGTAAAAATAATCTAAATCATTAATGTTCTTCTCACCTTCTTTTAATGGCCGGATTTCGTGGAGGAGAGATCTGCAGCCCGGAGTTTTCCAGTGGGTTCGAAACTACGGCGGCGGAGGAGGCGGTGCCACCGCCGCAAGCCGAT